AGCACTTGCCAGTCACAAGTAGCGCAGTGCCGAGCCCTTGCCAGTCACAAGCAGCGCAGTGCCGAGCCCTTGCCAGTCACAAGCAGCGCAGTGCCGAGCAGTTGCCAGTTAAAGTAGCACCCAGTTAAAGTAGCGCAGTGCTGAATAGCAAAAAAAAAAAAAAAAAAAAATGGCCTGGCCATGAAGGGAGGTAAAACTTTTCAGAGCTCAAGTGGTTCAAATTGTGTACCAAATAAACATAAAATCCGCCCATAAATGATTCCAGTCAGGTCAGTTATTGTGGAATTAGTTGATGCTGTTAAATTTCAGCCTGGGTGTCACTGACCTCTGGTCACGAAGGGGTCACATTTGAGTATTTCCCCCCCCCCCCCCCCCTCCCCCCGTTGAGCTTATACTGTCATGACTTCGGTATTTTATATTTTTATTTATTTTTTTTAATATGTCTCTGTGGACAGGACTGAAATCAACCAGCCTCCCTTCTATGGGAGTTTCCAGCCAATTGACTTGATGCACGAGCCCAGCCGTCTGCCGCTTGCTGTGCGGCAATAACATCATTGCTATTTTAACAGAACATTCCGAGGCCTACAATTGACATCCCGGAAAAGAGATGACGGGTGACTCCCACCCTGCGCACGCGAGCTTTGCGCAAGGCTATTCTGGTGCGAAAGGGCCATCAAATTTGGGGGGGGGGGAGGGGGGGGGGGGGGGGGGGGGCACCTACGCTGCAGCACAGATTTGCCCTTTTCAATGTGGCACAAACACAGTATGCGCTTCTACGGCAGTAGCGGCACCGGCTTGTGTTTGCAGGCAGACTCGTCACCCGGAAAACGTTTTTTTGCGACTTCATCCCGCGCACCAGCATGGCCTAAGTTACTTGCGTAGCCTCATTTTGTTTTCAGGTTTCAAAGTCGTTTAAAGGAGCAGAGTGGAAAACTTGCTTGTAGAGAACACAGCAGGCGGCGATGCTGGGCTTTCTGTAAAGTCGACTCACCCACCCAACGTACTCCAATTTAAAACATAATGGTGCTTTTATGAGTTTTAAAGGGACACTGCAGTCATATAGAAGTGTGTTTTTTTTTGGGGGGGGGGGGGGGGGGAGGGGGGGTTTGTTAAATTTTTAAAATTTTCTAATTGATAAAAATTTTTTAAATTTTTATTAATACATTTTTCTGTACATTGCTTGTGATTTTTATCTGGCCACTGATTATATATCAGACCGTTCTTTTACAATGGACGTTTTTATAGAGCTTCTGGTTCCCAGCCTGAACTTGCACCTCTCAGCCAGAACATTATGACCACCCGCCAGAATGGTGGGACCACCCGCCAGAATGGTGGGACCACCCGCCAGAATGGTGGGACCACCCGCCAGAATGGTGGGACCACCCGCCAGAATGGTGGGACCACCCGCCAGAATGGTGGGACCACCCGCCAGAATGGTGGGACCACCCGCCAGAATGGTGGGACCACCCGCCAGAATGGTGGGACCACCCGCCAGAATGGTGCGACCCCCAGCCAGAATGGTGGGACCACCCGCCAGAATGGTGGGACCACCCGCCAGAATGGTGCGACCACCAGCCAGAATGGTGCGACCCACCAGCCAGAATGGTGCGACCCACCAGCCAGAACGGTGCGACCCACCCGCCAGAACGGTGCGACCCACCCGCCAGAAGGTTAGGAGCACCCACCAGAACATTATGACCACTCGCCGAATATTGATTAGGTCCTCCTTTTGGCTTCCCAAACAACCCTGACCCATGGAGGCACGGACAGCCCTAGACCTCTGAAGTGGTATCTGGCACCAAGCCCTCAGTAGCAGATCCTTTAAAGTGGTTTGTAAACCCTTACATATTAGTGCTGCACCGATATGAAAATTCTGGACCGAAACCGAAAATTCAGGACGCACTTGCGGAAAACCTAAATGGACAATTTGTTAAAAAAAAAAATATATATATATACACATCTATATATATATATATATATATATATATATATATATATAGTGGGGATCGAAAGTTTGGGCACCCCAGCTAAAAATGTGTATTAATGTGCATAAAGAAGCCAAGGAAAGATGGAAAAATCTCCAAAAGGCATCAAATTACAGATTAGACATTCTTATAATATGTCAACAAACGTTAGATTTTATTTCCATCATTTACACTTTCAAAATAACAGAAAACAAAAAAAATGGCGTCTGCAAAAGTTTGGGCCCCCTGCAGAATTTATAGCATGCACTGCCCCCTTTGCAAAGCTGAGACCTGCCAGTGTCATGGATTGTTCTCAATCATCGTCTGGGAAGACCAGGTGATGTCAATCTCAAAGGTTTTAATTCCCCAGACTCATCTGACCTTGCCCCAACAATCAGCACCATGGGTTCTTCTAAGCAGTTGTCTAGAAAACTGAAACTGAAAATAGTTGACGCTCACAAAGCTGGAGAAGGCTAAAAGAAGATAGCAAAGCGTTTTCAGATGTCAATATCCTCTGTTCGGAATGTCATTAAGAAATGGCAGTCATCAGGAACAGTGGAAGTTAAAGCAAGATCTGGAAGACCAAGAAAAATATCAGACAGAACAGCTCGCAGGATTGTGAGAAAAACAATTCAAAACCCACGTTTGACTGCACGATCCCTCCAGAAAGATCTGGCAGACACTGGAGTTGTGGTCACTATTCCACTATAAAGAGATACTTGTACAAATATGGTCTTCATGGAAGAGTCATCAGAAGAAAAACCTCTTCTACGTCCTCACCACAAAAATCATCGTTTGAACTTTGCAAATGATCATATAGACAAGCCTGATGCATTTTGGAAACAAGTTCTGTGGACCGATGAGGTTAAAATTGAACTTTTTGGCCGGAATGAGCAAAGGTACATTTGGAGAAGAAGGGGCACAGAATTTAATGAAAAGAACCTCTGTCCAACTGTGAAGCATGGGGTTGGATCAATCATGCTTTGGGGTTGTGTTGCAGCCAGTGGCACAGGGAACATCTCACGAGTAGAAGGAAAAATGGATTCAATAAAATTTCAGCAAATTTTGGATGGCAACTTGATGCCATCTGTGAAAAAGCTGAAGTTAAAGAGAGGATGGCTTCTACAAATGGATAATGATCCTAAACACACCTCGAAATCCACGGGGGATTACATCAAGAGGCGTAAACTGAAGGTTTTGCCATGGCCTTCACAATCTCCTGACCTCAACATCATTGAAAATCTATGGATAGACCTTAAAAGAGCCGTGCGTGACAGACAGCCCAGAAATCTCAAAGAACTGGAAGACTTTTGTAAGGAAGAATGGGCAAAGATACCTCAAACAAGAATTGAAAGACTCTTGGCTGGCTACAAAAAGCGTTTACAAGCTGTGATACTTGCCAAAGGGGGCAGTACAAGATATTAACTCTGCAGGGGGCCCAAACTTTCGATCCCCACTGTGTATATATATATATATATGTGTGTGTGTGTACGTGTACACACACTTATACTTTAAATGTGCTCCTACCAATAATAATGTTAAGTCAAAATGCATGAAAGTCATTTTGATGACAAAATCCCGATTACGATGAACAGCCACGCCCACAATAATCCTCCATGTTTGTAGTGAAATAAATAGACTTCCGCGCCCACCACCACAAAAAAAAAACAAAAACGCACTGCTACTTACCGAATTGTTAGACCCCAGATGATAGGTCGTCTAACAGAGCATGATGCTGAACATATCTTGCTTGTAACATCCTAGATCAGGGGGTCTCCAAACTTTCCTCATCGTTGGTGTCAATGAGAGGAATAGTGCCCGGTTGTCAGTAGCAGAAATTATGCCCCTTTGTTGGTGTCAGTGGGAGGAATAGTGCCCCATCATTGGTATCAGTGGGGGGATAGTGCCCCATCATTGGTGTCAATGGGAGGAATAGTGCCCCATCATTGGTGTCAGTGGGAGGAAAAGTGCCTCATCGTTGGTGTCAGTGGGAGGAAAAGTGCCTCATCGTTGGTATCAGTGGGAGGAAAAGTGTCTCATCGTTGGTGTCAGTGGGAGGAAAAGTGCCTCATCGTTGGTGTCAGTGGGAGGAAAAGTGCCTCATCGTTGGTGTCAGTGGAAGGAAAAGTGCCTCATCGTTGGTATCAGTGGGAGGAATAGTGCCTCATCGTTGGTGTCAGTGGAAGGAAAAGTGCCTCATCGTTGGTGTCAGTGGAAGGAAAAGTGCCTCATCGTTGGTATCAGTGGGAGGAAAAGTGCCTCATCGTTGGTGTCAGTGGGAGGTATTATGCCCGGTTGTTGTTATCCCTGAGAGGAAAAGTGCCCCAGGGGCGAGATCAAAGCTCCCGACCCCCAGGCCACAGTTTGGAGACCACTGTCCTAGATGGAAAAGAGGTGTCACAGACTTCGGTATCTCTCCTCCTCTCTTTCTCCTTTATTATGATTCGTTGCGCTTTCGGTCAAAAAGGATAATACTCCAGATAGTGGGATAAAATACAAATGATTTAGTGAAACGAATAAAAGAAACACGAACTTCAAAGACAAATGAGGATGTCGGTCATAAACAAAGCTGGTGGCGGCTCCAGACAGGCGTGGGTGACGTCAGCAGATCTCCGCCCAGACCCGACGTACGTCTCGCCTCCATCGACCATCACCTGATCCCCTTCACAACCATTATTCTATCAGAACCAGCATTAACATTTTGAGCCCCAATAGCTCTTCTGTTGGGTCGGACTACACAGACCAGCCTTCCCTCCCCACCTCTATAAATGCACCTTTGCCTCCCATGACCCTGCTGCTGGTTGTCCGTCCTTGGACCTTCTTTGTTCGGTCCTGACCACTGCAGACCGGGAACACCCCACAAGAGCTGTAGTTTTTTTTTTTTTTTGGAGTTGCTCTGACCCAGCCATCTAGACATTACAATTTGGCCCTTTGTCAAAGTCACTCAAATCCTTACACTTTCAGCTTTCAATATTTCCGCTTCAGAGAAAACATGTTTACTTGCTGCCTAATACACTCACCGGCCACTTTTATTAGTGCCAAGAAAATCTCGCCCATACTGTGACACCAACAGCCTGAACCACTGATACAAGGGATGGATCCACCACACCATGACCCAACACCAACAGCCTGAACCGCTCATACATGGGATGGATCCACCACACCATGACACCACCAGCCTGAGCCGCTGATACAAGGGATGGATCCACCACACCATGACACCACCAGTCTGAACCACTGATACAAGGGATAGATCCACCACACCATGACACCACCAGCCGGAGCCGCTGATACAAGGGATGGATCCACCACACCATGACACCACCAGCCTGAACCACTGATACAAGGGATGGATCCACCACACCATGACACCACCAGTCTGAACCACTGATACAAGGAATGGATCCACCACACCATGACACCACCAGCCTGAACCGCTGATACAAGGAATGGATCCACCACACCATGACACCACCAGTCTGAACCACTGATACAAGGGATGGATCCACCACCACACCATGACACCACCAGCCTGAACCGCTGATACAAGGAATGGATCCACCACACCATGACACCACCAGCCGGAGCCGCTGATACAAGGAATGGATCCACCACACCATGACACCACCAGCCTGAACCGCTGATACAAGGAATGGATCCACCACACCATGACACCACCAGCCGGAGCCGCTGATACAAGGAATGGATCCACCACACCATGACACCACCAGCCTGAGCCGCTGATACAAGGGATGGATCCACCACACCATGACACCACCAGCCGGAGCCGCTGATACGAGGGATGGATCCACCACACCATGACACCACCAGCCTGAACCACTGATACAAGGGATGGATCCACCACACCATGACACCACCAGCCTGAACCGCTGATACAAGGGATGGATCCACCACACCATGACGCCACCAGCCTGAACCACTGATACAAGGGATGGATCCACCACACCATGACACCACCAGCCTGAACCGCTGATACAAGGGATGGATCCACCACACCATGACACCACCAGCCTGAACCGCTGATACGAAGGATGGATCCACCACACCATGACACCACCAGCCTGAACCGCTGATACGAGGGATGGATCCACCACACCATGACACCACCAGCCTGAACCGCTGATACGAGGGATGGATCCACCACACCATGACACCACCAGCCTGAACCGCTGATACGAGGGATGGATCCACCACACCATGACACCACCAGCCTGAACCACTGATACGAGGGATGGATCCGCCACACCATGACACCACCAGCCTGAACCGCTGATACAAGGGATGGATCCGCCACACCATGACCCCACCAGCCTGAACCGCTGATACAAGGGATGGATCCACCACACCATGACACCACCAGCCTGAACCGCTGATACAAGGAATGGATCCACCACACCATGACACCACCAGCCGGAGCCGCTGATACAAGGAATGGATCCACCACACCATGACACCACCAGCCTGAGCCGCTGATACAAGGGATGGATCCACCACACCATGACACCACCAGCCTGAGCCGCTGATACAAGGGATGGATCCACCACACCATGACACCACCAGCCTGAACCACTGATACAAGGGATGGATCCACCACACCATGACACCACCAGCCTGAACCGCTGATACAAGGGATGGATCCACCACACCATGACACCACCAGCCTGAACCACTGATACAAGGGATGGATCCACCACACCATGACACCACCAGCCTGAACCGCTGATACAAGGGATGGATCCACCACACCATGACACCACCAGCCTGAACCGCTGATACAAGGGATGGATCCACCACACCATGACACCACCAGCCTGAACCGCTGATACGAGGGATGGATCCACCACACCATGACACCACCAGCCTGAACCGCTGATACAAGGGATGGATCCACCACACCATGACACCACCAGCCTGAACCGCTGATACGAGGGATGGATCCACCACACCATGACACCACCAGCCTGAACCGCTGATACAAGGGATGGATCCACCACACCATGACACCACCAGCCTGAACCGCTGATACAAGGGATGGATCCATGCTTTCATGTTGTTTACCCAATTTCTGACCCTACACATCTGAATGTCGCAGCTGAAATCCAGACTCATCAGACCAGGCAACATGTTTTTCCCAATTTCTATTGTCCAATTTTGAATGTGAGCCTGAAATCAAATTGTCATCCTCCAGGCAACGTTTTTCCAATGTTCTTAGCTGACAGGAGTGGTGCACCCGGTGTGCAATTGTAGCCTCCGTTACCTGTTCTTAGCTGACAGGAGTGGCACCCGGTGTGAATGGTAGCCTCTGTTTCCTATTAGCTGACAGGAGTGGTACCTGGTGTGAATTGTAGCTTTCGTTTCCTGTTCTTAGCTGACAGGAGTGGCACCCGGTGTGAATTGTAGCCTCCGTTTCCTGCTCTTAGCTGACAGGAGTGGCACCCGGTGTGAATTGCAGCCTCCGTTTCCTGTTCTTAGCTGACAGGAGTGGCACCCGGTGTGAATTGTAGCCTCCGTTTCCTGCTCTTAGCTGACAGGAGTGGCACCCGGTGTGAATTGTAGCCTTTGTTTCCTGCTCTTAGCTGACAGGAGTGGCACCCGGTGTGAATTGTGTAGCCTACATTTCCTGTTAGCAGACAGGAGTGGCACCTGGTGTGTGAATTGTAGCCTCCGTTTCCTGTTAGCTGACAGGAGTGACACCTGGTGTGAATTGTAGCCTCCGTTTCCTGTTAGCTGACAGGAGTGGCACCCGGTGTGAATTGTAGCCTCCTTTCCTGTTCTTAGCTGGCAGGAGTGGCACCCAGTGTGGTCTTCTGCTGCTGTAGCCATCTGTTTCAAGGTTGGACGTGTTGTGTGTTCAGAGATGGTATTCTGCATACCTTGGTTGTGATGAGTGGTTATTTGATTTACTGTTACATTTTTATCATCTCCATCCAGTCTGCCCATTCTCCTCTGACCTCAACAAGGCATTTTCCTCCACACTACTGCCACTCGCTGTATATTTTCTCTTTTTCGGACCATTCTCTGTAAACCTTGGAGATGGTTGAAAATCCCAGTAGATAGGCAGTTTTTTTTAAATACTCAGACCAGCCCGTCTGGCACCAACAACCATGCCACGTTCAAAGTCACTTCAATCCCCTTTCTTCCCCATTCTGATGCTCGGTTTGAACTTCAAGTCGTCGTCACCACGTCTAGATGCCTAAATGCATTGAGTTGCTGCCATGTGATTGGCTGATTAGCAATTTGTGTTACTAGGCAATTGTACCTAATGAAGTGACCGGTGAGTGTATATACTGTATACTTCCAACTGTCTATTTAACTGTTTGCCTGGCCTGAGCTTTAAAGAAGAATTCTCCCTTCCATTTTTATGAATGTGTCCTTCTCCATGTTGTACTTTGTCCCGTCTTCCTATATGCTGAATAAAGCTAGCTACAAAGTTGGAGCACCTACCCCTCTTCCCTCCTGTCCAACCACGCAGCTAGAGAGAGTTTGTCCCGCCCACTTTCAGGTGCCATAATCAATGTCATTCACTTTACCTGTCTGTGGTCATAATGTTATGGCTGATTGGTGTCTGTAGGCCAAGGTGTGTGAAGCTGCCCTCCATATCCATTGACGTAAGCCGTGGCAGCGCATATCTCGATGTGTGTGCCCGGTCTGATCCTGCGTGCCACGGAGCAGCCAGCATTTTGCCTACCTTTTAATGATCTGGTATTTTGCTGAAGTCTTCGTGAAGCTCTGAGGGGTGCAAGGGTGTCATTCTGTGGTTGAAAAATTGCACAACGAAGAATGGCTGGCAAGGCTGCACCCCGGTTCAGAGCCCTGGCTGCAAGGGATCATGGGAACATTTTTATAGACCTTGATCAGGTTAAATCAAGTGAATACATTCCATCTGCATCAAATCAAAAAGGGGGGGGGGACCAAGAATGGTGCACTTCAAAAAAAAAGGGGGGGGGACCAAGAAAGGTGCACTCCTAAAAAGGGGGGGGGGGACCAAGAAAGGTGCACTTCAAAAAAGGGGAGGGGGGGACCAAGAATGGTGCACTCCAAAAAAGGGAGGGGGGACCGAGAATGGTGCACTCCAAAAAAGGGGAGGAGATCAAGAATGGTGCACTCCAAAAAAGGGGAGGAGATCAAGAATGGTGCACGCCAAAAAAAAGGGGAGGAGATCAAGAATGGTGCACTCCAAAAAAAAAAAGGGGGGGGTGGAGACCAAGAATGGTGCACTCCAAAAAAAGGGAGGGGTGGAGACCAAGAATGGTGCGCTCCAAAAAAGGGAGGGGTGGAGACCAAGAATGGTGCACTCCAAAAAAGGGAGGGGTGTAGACCAAGAATGGTGCACTCCGAAAAAGGGAGGGGTGGAGACCAAGAATGGTGCACTCCGAAAAAGGGAGGGGTGGAGACCAAGAATGGTGCACTCCAAAAAAGGGAGACCAAGAATGGTGCACCCCAAACAAGGGGGGGGGGGGGGTCAGTGGAGACCAAGAATGGTGCACTCCAAAAAAAGATGGGGGGGGGAGACCAAGAATGGGGCACTCCAAAAAAAAAAAAGGGGGGGGGGGGCCAGGGGGTGGCGACCAAGAATGGCGCACTCCAAAAAAAGTCACGATTTCTATGTGTGCCTATTTATTGCTTCCTGCAACATATTTGGCGCATGGCAGATTAGTATTCCACGTGGTGATGGCACCAGATTCAAGTACCCCGGCGAGCACCAAAAAATGTGGTGCAATTCTCATCCGCACTCAAATCCTCTCTCCTAACTGCAGTGCTGCTTGTTGCCATCCGCCCCCCCCCCCCCCCCCCAGTATTTATGCCTCTTTGGTACTGGTGTCCATTTTAGAACCGTTTTTAAATTAGAGCGTCGGTGCCGTCACATCAATCTGTCGTCCCGTGTGATCGGACGTTTATACAAAATGTCGCATAACACGTTTAAAGCGGAACTAAACCCTCCTCTTACTTTGTAGCCAAGGAAGCTGCCATCTTGGCCCTCTGTTTGCACTGCAGTTGCCCTGGTTGCACTTAAGTGATTTGGTAGCTGGTCGCGGGCCACAATGAATTAAAAAAGTGTAAAACAGAATGTGACAGGGAGGCCAGATGGGCCCCCTGGAGCATGGGACAGGATCGCCACTGCGACCCCTGACGCTACACCACTTGGGGTGGGGATGTGGTAAAAACAGATCTCAACGATGAGGTTTTACTGCCCCTCAAACCGCAATTGTAAACAAGTCCTTACTAGCCTAAGCCCCCTATATGGCCATTTCAGACTGACGCGCTGCGGTTTATCTGCACCGTGGGTGCAATACAGTGCACCTGTGGGCTAGCTGAGCTTTGCCATAGCATTCTATCTTGCGGATGTGGTGCACTTTCTGAAAGCGAACCAAAACTGCCGGCCACTTAAGTGATTTTGGTAGCTGGTCGCGGGCCACAATGAAATGAAAAAGTGTAAAACCAGAATGTGAAAGGGAGGCCAGATGGGCCCCCTGGTGCATGGGCCCAGGATCACCACTGCGACCCCTGACGCTACACCATGCAGTAAAAAAACAGATCTCAATTATGGGGTTTACTGCCCCTCAAACCGCAAATGTAAACAAGTCCTTACTAGCCTAAGCCCCCTATATGGCCATTTCATACTGACGCACTGCGGTTTACTGCACCGCTGCGCTCTGCCATAGCTTTATATTACATCTTGCGGATGTGGTGCACTTTCTGAAAGCGAACCAAAACTGCCAACCACTTAAGTGATTTTGGTAGCTGGTCGCGGGCCACAATGAAATGAAAAAGTGTAAAACAGAATGTGAAAGGGAGGCCAGATGGGCCCCCTGGAGCATGGGCCCAGGATCACCACTGCGATCCCTGGCGCTACACCAGTTAAGGGGGGGATGCGGTAAAACAGATCTCAACTAAGGGGTCTTACTGCCCCTCAAACCACTTAGTTGATTTGATAACTGGATGCGGGACACAATGAAATGTAAAACAGAATGTGAAAGGGAGGCCAGATGGGCCCCCTGGAGCATGGGACAGGATCACCACTGCGATCCCTGGCGCTACACCAGTTGAGGGGGGGAAGGGGGATGCGGTAAAACAGATCTCAACTAAGTGGTCTTACTGCCCCTCAAACCACTTAGGTGATTTGGTAACTGGTCGCGGACACAATGAAATGTAAAACGGAAAGTGAAAGGGAGGCCAAATGGGCCCCCTGGAGCATGGGGCCAGGATCACCACTGCGAACCCTGACGCTACACCATGCAGTAAAAACAGATCTCAACTATGGGGTCTTACTGCCCCTCAAACCGCAAATGTAAACAAGTCCTTACTAGCCTAAGCCCCCTATATGGCCATTTCACACTGACGCACTGCGGTTTACCTGCACCGTGGGTGCGGTACAGTGCACCTGCGGGCTAGCTGAGCTTTTCCATAGCATTCTATTCTATGTTGGCTGTGTGGTGCACTTTCTGAAAGCAAACCCCCAAGATGTAATAGAAATGCGCTTCCCTGATTGGAAGTAGAGGGCCACATCAGAGCACTCCGAGGGCTACCTGTGGCCCAGTGGCAACAGGTTGAGCACCCGTGGTCTACATGGTCCCAGAGCTTCCCTCTGGTCATCCAGCAGCATTGGATCCTTGCCCTTTACTGGCTTCATAGGTTCACCCTGACCAGTAGGCCCATTAGCAGGGCTTCAGTACAATGCATTTGACATGCATTAGGGAGGACTATTGCGGGTCATTGTGACTATAGGAATTGTGGCATTGAACTGAAACTGGGGCGCCTGTTGTTATCTTTTCCTTTTTATCATTCATCGCATGCCTTGAATGTAACCGCTTTGAGGAAACTGATACATTGACGGGTTTAGTTCCGTTTTAACATTTGTTGCAGCACATACAACCTATCTTACAACATTGTGACTACTTGGTGTAGCGCCGAGTTAACCCATCACCTTGCACCATGTCACATACAGTGAAGGAAATGCGTATTTGCTCCCCGGCTGATGTTGAATGTTCGCCCCTCACAGAGAAATGATCGGTCTACAAATCGAATGTTCGGTGTAACACT